TTATAAAAAACATGGAATATTCTAGTTAAAAATGTGGTGGCTACGTTGGGCGCCACCTAAATTAACAAATTTAAAAAATTTGAAAATATTTTTTTTTGATTTCTCAATTTATTGAAGTAAAACAATGCTAGTAAGGATATTGAAACTAATGCAAATTCTTAAATTTTCTCAACATTTTGTTGGGGCATTTCCGTCTTCTTTTAGGGGAACTTTTTTGAATGTTTGTTTATATTTTTTTAAATAATTTATGTTTTGAACATTTTAAATATGTTTAAAAACACGAGTAAATATTAAAAAAAATATTTTTTAAAAATATTTTCCATTAAATTTTATATAATTAAAATATTGAAAATACTCCTATTTCATCGAGTGTTCTGGCGACACCTGTTGTCAATAGCTTTTTTCTAAACACATTTTCATATATATTTTTTTATTTTAATTTTTTCAATGTTAAATTGTGAAAATATTTTATTTTAAATTTACAATGATTCAATGAAATCTTTCTCAACACCAAAAACAATAACGTGTTGTTGTTGTCGTCTCTTGCCATTCCTTGTGGCAATATTTCATGCGTTCAGAAAGCAAAGTGAAAAAAAATCACAACAACATAATTTTATTTATATATGAACGTATTTGTTGTTGAAAGTCATTGATTTAATGTCATATGTCTGGCATATGGGATTGGCTGGTGTTCGTATTACAAAACATGAACAACATAAATATGTTTTTACATCATAAATTTTAAAAGCATTTTCAATATCAAAGCCAGTCAGTCAGCCACCCACACAAATACGCAGGCAATTAAGAGAATGAATGCATTGAAAATATTTTTTCGAAAAAAACAAAAAAATATGAAACCTCCAAAAGAAATAGGTATTTGTGTCACAGCACTTTAGACATTCTCAAATGCACTAATTTTTGAAAAATATATATTTTTTTGGTTTTGAGATTTGTACTTGAAGCAATGCAAAAAAACACACAAAATAGTTTGTCAAGTTGACTAACAACATGTTTGCCTTTCGTTGCCATTTTTTTTGTGTTGAAATACACTTATGCTCATAAGTATGCACCTTGGAAAAAATGCACAGATCAGAAACTAATACTGGCGTTTAGGCCACTTGTTCTCTGTGGTCTTTTTCTTTTCAGTTTTTTAATTTTTTGAGATACGACAAACTTCAAAGATTTTCAACTACCTGCCCGCCCTATAGACAGACAGACGGACGAAGGTCTATCTTCTGTTTGTTCTTTTGCATTTTTTGTTCGTGTCTTTAGATTAGTGTGTGATTTTCTTTATACCCCGCCGAATTTTGGGTATTGTTTTAGGATTTATTTCTAGATTTAGTTTTTTTTGGCTTGTGTCTCCTCACATGCTGTCATTATCTTTTGATATTTTCAAAAAAAAAAAAACCGAAAAGTAAATATAGCCACTCCCCTAAGAAAAACCACCACATGTTTTAGGAAAACCATGATGTTTAAGAATTTAGACGCCTCTTTATTTAGCCATGGTCGCCGTTGTCTCTCACCCTGCTGCCGGTGGACGGATGTCTCATCTCATTTGAAAATCGATTTTATTTTCAGATGACGATGCACAGCATCGCCACAGGTTGTTTTTTTCACTTACTACAGAAAATACTCATTTTAGCACCACATGAGCCCTCAATATTAGCCAGACAACAACAAAAAAACCCCTATTGGGTGTCAGCAAATATTTTAGCTATTGCGTTTTTATCATTACGCTAATTCATTTGCTATACATTATTTTCTACAATAATTTAATTTTAGCATCGCCGCACAGTACTTTATTTTCTTGTTAGTGAGTCATGGGACCGATGGCGAACGGCATGTGCCAAAGTGTAGGGTATAATTGGAAATGGAAACAAGTGCTTAGATAAAAAGTGTGAAAACGCTTCTGACGTGAATCGGCTCGCTTGCGTAGTTTTCAATTACAAAGTAAATAGATTTCATAAAGGTTGGCTTACGGAGCTCATAATCGAAGCACGCAATTTCAAAATGATTTGGAAAAAATATTTTTCAAACATGAATTTTTCGGGGAAAAATGATTCCTAGCCTTGAAATTTTAAAGCTTGGTCAATTTTGAATTATTATTATTATTTTTTTTTTTAATAATTTATCTACGAAAATGTCTAGGAAAGTTTCAAAAGGTAATCCTTTACAGAATAATATATTTTTTTGGGTCAGCACCATCTATACTTCAATTATTCTATGGATTCTTCGTACACTTCATACAATGCCATCTATATTTCATTTTTATTATTATTTATAAAATATGAACTCTTCGGTAAAGAGGCATTCCAAATTTCAAGCAAACAATTAAAAGTTCGAAAATTTTGATTTTAGACTGTTGAAATATCATTAAATGGAATATAAATACGAAATGTTTGAAAGGCAATATTTTGTCGGTAACGCCATCTACATTTCAATTTTCTTAAATAATGGGTATTTTTGTGCGTATTTTGCAGAATTTTTACAATTTTAAATGTTACTATTTTTTTTGGTAGTTTTCGAATTTGGACCGATTTGACAGCTAAAATTTAATTTTAGGCTGATGTTGTCAATGAGACAAATATTCTACGTCAAATTTCAGTAGGGGTCACCGACCATGTGAAATGGATATATAAAATATGTACCTTAAAAATATTGGAGGAAACATGGACATATAATTTCAAATTTTATTATTTTTAATTTCTAGCATCACCGAAATTGTTGTTCAATTTGACACTCAAAACGGCATTTTGGAGAGTTGGTGCCAAGGAGGAAAATATTCTAAGGCGAATTTTACCAGGGGTCGTCAGCCATACCATATCTCAAAATCGTATATAAATCGTGGAAATATAGCTGCAATGTTGGGTATATCAAACTAAATTTTTAAAGAAATTGTTCTTTTGCAAAAAATCTACACCCCCGAATAAGACCCAAATTTGGCCTATAAAACTGAATTTTATCGAGATGGCACTAATAGAGAAAATATCCTACACTAAATTTTATTAGAGATCCCCAACCAAACTAAATCTCTAGATGTTGTGTATATCATGGATATATAGATTTAATGTTGGGTATATAAAATTACAATCGTTTAATTGATTTTTGGTACAATCCCATTCTGTCCTGGGGCCAATTTGAACCTTAAAATATTATTTTAGCGAGATGGTGCTAATGGAAAAAATGTTCTGCATCAAATTACACTAGGGGTCGCTGTTCATAGAAAAATTCTAGCGGTAATATATATCGGGAAAATACAGCTCGAGATTGAGATTTTTGATTCTTTTATAAAATTCCTTGAATCCCTGAACTGAGGACAAATTTCACCCATAAAACTCCATTTTAGCAGGAAGATGATAATGGAGAAAATATTCTACATCAAATTCCACTAGGGGTCGCCGTTCATAGAAAAATTCTGGCGATAATATATATCGGGAAAATACAGCTCGATATTGAGATTTTTGATTCTTTTATAAAACTCCTTGAATCTCGGAACTGTGGACATATTTAACCCATAAAACTCCCTTTTAGCAGGAAGATGCTAATGGAGAAAATATTCTGCATCAAATTCCACTAGGGGTCGCCGTTTATTGAAAAATTCTAGCGATAATATATATCGAAGAAAAATAATTATAAAAAATTGGATTAATTTTTTTTTGGATTCTTTAATGAATTTCTCAGAACATCCGGTTCGAGATCAAATTTGAACCATAAAACTCCATTTTAGAATGATGATGCTAATGAAGAAAATATTCTGCATCAAATTCTGATAGGGGTCGCGGTTCATAGAAAATGTCTACCTATAATATATGTCGAGGGGAAAATGGTTCAAAAGTTGAGTTACCTTAAATTTTGGAATAAATTCTGCCAATTTTTTATTTTTCGACTTGGATACAAAACTGCAGAAAAATTATAAAGAAGGTGATGTCAAATCAAAACCTTAAAAACGTGGGCTAAATACTGGATTATGTAACCATGGAATAGCTGCTGGAGTTGGGTGATTTCACAAAATAGTCCAAATGTTGGGTTGAAATGAAATATTAAATATACTTTTCTTTTTTTTTTTCGATTTGAACCCAAAATCCTCAAATATTATAAAAAATGTGATATCAGATCAAAACCTACAAAATATTGGGCTTAATACTGATAAAGTAACCATGAAATAGCTGCTGGAGTTGGGGCGTAGAGAGGTAGAGTGAGATGTAGGAAAATTTAATAAAGCCGTTTGAGAGCTGACTTAATAATTAAAAAAATAAGCTTAATAATTTAAAAAAAAAACATTACAAAAAATTTTCAGAATTTTCACGAAGTTTGAAACAATTTTTGTAGTCCATAAAAATTTTAAAAATATTTTTTTCATAATTTAATTTTACTAATTTTCAATATATATTTTTTTAAATTTAAAAAATATTTATTTAATTCAATATTTTCAAAAATAAAGATATACACTACTTATCTAATTAAATTAAATTTGAAAAAAATGCTTCAATATTTTCAAAAATACCTTCTTCATTTTGTAAAAAAATCCAAGAAAATTTTCAAAATTTAAATATTTTTTTTTATATATTTTTTATTTATTTATTTATTTATTTTTTTTTTTTTGATATTTTTACACCAATTTTTTCTGAACTTTCTTTTCTCAGCTGAATAAAGTTGCTGGAATTTCTTTCTTTATTTTCGGATAGAAAAATCAATACTAAACGTTGTAAATGACGACGGCGATGGCGTCGCTGGAAACAACTACCAGCCAGCTTGGCTTGACTTGGCAGCAAGTGTCTTACAACAAAATGAGAAGAAAACAAAAAACAGAATTCAGCCGAGCGCCATCATTATTAGGTAGTGATGACTCGGCCAAAAAATGTTTTGCCATATACGAAGGAAACGAATCTATATTATAGGTATTTCTTTCTGTTATGGGTATGGATATAAGGGTATGGCTATAGGGTATATATTATTTGAATATAGGGTGTGTTTTCTATATTTTTGAATATTATACGTACTTTTGCATTCGGCACCATTACATAGCATGGGCTGTCATAGCCCTTCTGCCAGATTTCATAGAGCCAATTTTCGGGTTGACGCATTGCCATTGTACCCAGCATTTTGAATTCGAGTTTGGTGAATATAAACTTTTTCAAATGAATTTTGTAATGTTGACGGGTTGGGGTAGGGGATTGATTTTCAATTCCTTTCCCTCGGCTGCTTAACTGGTGTGCTTCTTATTTTTTTTTAAGTACAAAAAAGATGGGTTGGATGTGTGGTTCTTGGGGTGAACAGTCTTTTGGGGATTTTTCTTCTTCTTGCTTTTGCAGAGGATAGAGATATTATCTGTTTGTTTTTTTTTTATAAAGTTGCACTTTTTAATAGTGATATGTTGCTTGGTTTCACAATGCTTGTTTGTTGAGAGGGCCCCTCTTTGATTTGGTTGGCTTTTAGGGGGTTAAATGTTCTTTTTTTGTTTCTGATAATTATATAATTTATTTTTGCTTTGTGGGGGAATTTTTAATTTATTTTCTTCAATTCCTTTTTGAGTTTATTTTTCTTGAATTTCTTCTTTTTTTTAAATCACAGTTTTTGAAAATTTATTTTTTATAAAAAATTTTTTATGGCCTTTTTCAAATTTATTTTTTCTTGTGATATTTTTAGGCTTTAAAAATGTTAAGTATTCAATTTTTGTGAATTTTTGCTTCTTTTCTTTCTTGAATTAATTTTTCTTTTTTAATTTTTCCTTTCTTCAATTTGAGGATCTTGTCATACAAAAAAAAAAAAAGAGAGCAGGCAAAGGCACCAATAAATATTGTATGGTTTCCGGAATTGGTTACTTTGAATTATATATTTCTTGCTTATTTTTTATTCCACTAAAATTTTAGCTTTTTTAAGAATATTTTTATTTATTCTTGTATTTCATAAAATTGCATTGAATTTCTTCTTGTTTTAATTATATATTATTTTTTCTTCTGCTTCTTCTTCTAGTTAAGTATTTCTTTTTATTTTTTGTGGTTTGCAATTTGTAGTTGTTTTGGGTTGTTTGGTTTTTTTTTGTAATGTGTTTTATACAAAAGTTTAGCAATAACTGATTTTCTGTATAGCAAAACCCCACAATATAGATGATTTTTCGAACCAAATGGAGGCCTCTGAGATTCAACAGCAATTGAGTGAAGAGCAACAACCGGTTTGTGGTGAGAGCCACCATGGGCTCTTGAGTGGTTTTCAAATCAAAACTAACTCAAGAGAGAAGTACTCTTTATGCCACAAAAATATAACATTTCAATTTTATATAAATTAATTCACACAATTTTCTATGAATTTTTAACCGAAAACACTCCAAGAAATAAATAAAAAATTTAAAATTAAATAAAACACACCACCCGTCTCTGTAACAGGCCTTAGGCAACAGCAAAAGGCGACTAAATGTCTGGTTGGGGCTGGGAGAATAATTGCCACACGACTAGGTCTCACACAAAGAAATCTCTCTCGCACACGCACAAAAGAAAAAACAAAGAAAACAACTGTTTCTCCCCACCAAAGGAGAACAACGTTATTTAAATGGAGTGTAGAAATAACTCAAAAAAATTGACTCTCTCTCTCTCACACAATTCATGGGAGAGAACATAATTATGTTTGAGTGCGAACCACTCACGCCGAAATCACATGTATCTGTGAGATACTTAATATGGGCAAAAATCCATAAATTAACACTCAAATACAAAAACATGCGCGATAAGATAAAACCACAGAGAGAGAGAGAAGAACAAATAACTAAATATATGCACATCGAAGAAAAACTACCTGCCATTGACTTGACTGGTTGGCTGGCTGTTTTAACTGTTTGTTGTTGTTGACTGGCTGGCTGCCTGCCTTGGGAATTTACATTTACAAAATAAATGCGACATATGTTTTTAATGGCAAGCAAATATGCTATACCACTCTCTCTCACTCACCCTCTCATCGAGTAAAATTCAGACAAACAACTGTATCTCAAAGAGACAAACAGGTAGATACCTGACATGGATGACTAAAAACATTTTTTGTTACCCCCAAAAAGAACCATAAGCCACAACAATAACAACAACATTAAGAAAAATAAAAGACCCGAAAACACGCAAAATTCTGAAATGGAAAATCGTCATGATGATAATTCAAATTGCGATGGAAAAACAGAGAAAAAAACATCAACAACAATAATAATTACTAGTTAAGGAAATTAGGTAAAAAGGAAGAAGAACCTCTCTTCGGGAACCGAGAAAAAATACGCCAGGAAAATTTTCTTCTATAGAATCTAAATTCGGAATCAAAGTTTTTTTTTTTATTAATACAAGGGAATTAATTTTTCGAAAAAAAATTCGAAAAAAAATATGAAGAACAGTTTTTATACCCTCCACCACAGTATGGGGGCTATATTACATATACACTTTAGACCCCTAAATGTATATATATATTCTTGATTAGCATAAAATTCTATGTCGATTTTAAGATGACCGTCCGTCGATTCCTCTGTGGAAATCACTCTAGCTTCCGAACGGAATGAAGTAAGTTGATTAAATTTTACTCAAATGTGTATTATGTCTGCAGGACTTTTGGTATTGAAAATGGGCCATGTATGTCAACGTTTTGGTATGGCCCTCATATAATGGTACCTCCCTATTTTCGGTATTTTTGTGATTTAAGCGACATTATTCATCGGAATCGTTTCAAATTTGGTATTTGAAGTTCGTAATGGATAATACAGACTATGACAGAAAATTGTCTGTGTAGGTCCACGTCTTCGTTTAGCCCCCATATAACAGTACCTCCCGATATTCGGTATTTTGATGATTTTGGCGACATTATTCATCGGAATCGTTTCAAATTTGGTATTTGAAGTTCGTAACGGATACTACAGCCTATGACAGAAAATTTTCTGTGCAGGTCTACGTCTTCGTATAGCCCCCATATAACAGTACCTTCCGATATTCCGTATTTTGATGATTTTAGCGACATTATTCACCGGAATTGTTTCAAATTTGGTATTGGAAGTTCGCAATGGATACTACAGCCAACGGCAGAAAATTTGCTGTAAATAGGCAGCTCGTATTCCTTTGATGTAGGAAATATCCTTGCATAGAACATTCCATATAAATCCAAGATTAGGTATAGTCCTCATATAACTGTACACCCGATATTCGGTATTTAAATGCTGAACGTCACTTTTTTTTCACGAAATTGTATAAAATTTGGTGTTTGGAGTCCGTAATGGATACCACCACCTCCACTGACAGAAAATTTATTTTACAGGGCAACTTCTTCGTAGAACCCCGATATAAGGGTATCTCCCTATATTCGGTATTTAACTGATTTTAGTTACACTTTTCACCGGAATTATTTCAAATTTTGAATTTGGAGTTCGCAATGGGTACTCCTTCCTATGAAAGAATATTGTCCTTGCAGACCCACGTCTTTGTACTGCCCCGTATAAAGGTATCTCCCAATTTTTCGGTATTTTTATTATATAAGGTACTACAAATCGAGGTAAGATGTTAGCCCCCCATACCCACCCCCACCGTTAGAATTTTTTTTTTAAATTTCCGGATTAAAAGTACTTGGAATACCTAAATTTTAAGGTAAATAGAGTTTTCGGAAATATTGGAGAAAATATAGGTGGATTATTTTAGTCGAAAATGTTTACTCTCAAGCGAGAAAATATATGAGTCTGGTTTTAGGGTTAAAGCCGTACTTAATGTGAGGTTATGTTAAAATCTCTCGCAAAGCATCATTGTAGAAAAATGACGTCATAATAAAAAAAAATTAAAGGCTTTAATATATCCTTCCATAATTTTTTAAAATATGTTTGTCTTTTGTGGGAGTTTCCCCTCCAAACATCCAATTAAAATCCAAAACTTAACCCAATTTCCAAACGTTTTTTTTTTTTGTTTTGGTAACCTGTCATTTAATATTTTATTTTGTATTTTGATACCCATATCCCATATCCAAAAAAAAAAAAAAAAAATACAAACCATGGCCTAAAGAACTTCCAGCCATTCATTCATTACCTTTAATAAGGTGTTAATATAATTTCGGCCATAATTTTGTATATTTTTGAAAATTCTTTGCTGAAATTGAATACCTAGTTTTTTGAAAACACCTCCAATCTGTCTCCAATGACGTAAACCTACAGGTAATTTATACTCGAGGGAAGAAGAATTTTGTAGTTTTTTTTATTATTGGATTTATGGATGAGTGTAGGGGCTTAGATGATAAAGGTTAAAACAGAAACAACAAACAAAAAACATCATTAAGCAAACAAAAAGAGGAGGAGGAGGTGTGTAGGTGAATAAGCAAATGGAATCAATAATTTTGTATTTATTGTTTGACGCACGTTTAGCAAACATGAATATGATTTTTGTTTGCAAATGCCATTTAAAAATATAAGCTTTAAGTGAAATTCTGAACATAATTAATTTTTTATAGAATTTTTTTAGAAATTTTCTGTAAAAAAATTGACGTTTTTTAAATACGGACATTTTTAATGTAATTTTTCTGTAAAAAAATGATATTTTTCTGTAAAAAAATCATCATTCCCAAGCCACGCAGGAATTTTTGATTTGATAAAAAAATCAGTCCTCAGTCACTAAGAATTTTTTCTATAGAAAATCGGTCGTTATTTATTGAGCTTTAAAAAACTGATTTTTTATTCCAAAAAAATTATCCTCATTATTGACTGAGGATTTTTTTCTATAAAAAAACAGCCAAAATAGTTGTGAAGAATCGTGGAATTTTTGGAAAAATATTTTTGAAGATCTTGATCTTAAAGACGTTTGGTTGGAAGGTCCTTGAAAAAATTTAATTTTTTTTGCAAGAAATTCACTAAAAACTATTCATAGACCAACAAAGGCGTATTCCTTGAAAGTTTTTTTTTTTTTTTTGTTTTGGAAAAGATCACGATTATTGGGTAATATGTCTTTCACACATAGCTTCTTTAAATATCCTCGATTGCAGGATTTTTGAAGGTATTTGTCATAGACATTATTTATTTCAAGAACCTTCAAGCCTGATGTCGTACATTTTGAAAGATTTTTAAGGAAATCCCGAACCTCCTGACCACATACAGGGTGAGATGAAAAACTGCAACCAACTGCTGTCATTTCTAAGCCACTCGTCTGACAGCTGTTAAAATTATTGCAGTGATAGCTCATTATATTGTCTACAAGCGTACAAAAGCATTTTGGTGAGAATTTTCCCGAAAAAAAGTTATTCCTGATGGAATTCAAGCGTGATAGTGTGATTTCTTTATATTTAGCTCGAAAAGCACAAGTGGCTATCGTTAGAGAACTCCAGCATTTAAATGTGAATAGACCTTTTGTATCTCGTACCATCGGTCGTTACCGTGATACTGCTGTCGTAGCCCCACGTCAAGGAAGTGAACGGAAGAAAACAGCAACATATCAGCAGAAATGGTTCGAAAAGTAAAGAAGCGACATGAACGAAACCTCCAGCGTTGCAGTGGCCGAAAAATGGCTCGTGAGCTGAACATATCGCAATATTCCATTGGGCAAATATTGAAAATGCGACGCGCTCGGGGTAAAGCCATTGAAATTCCAAAAAGTGCAAGAACTTACACCGAAAAAGAAGGAACATAGACTCAAAAGAGCTAAAGAGTTGCTTCGCGTGGCCAAAAGTGGTGAACTGCCGAATTGAAATTCCAAAAAGTGCAAGAACTTACACCGCAACAGAAACAAAAATAGACTCAAAAGAGCTAAGGAGTTGCTTCGCTTGGCCGAAAGTGGTGAACTGCCGAATTTGATATTTTCCGCTCCGATGAGAAAACATTCGTTGGCCAGCAGTTTGTAAATAACCAAACTAAGCGTGTTTACTTGCCAAAGAGGTCAGCTGAAAATGTGCACCTTCGGTTGGCCACCAGGACTCAAGCGCCGGGCATGGTGATGGTATGGGCCGCCATGGACGTTTTCCGGCCGTCTATCTGTCTGTGGAAATCACACTATCTTGCGAACGAAATTAATTACTCAAATGTGTATTATGTCTGCAGGACTTTTGGTATTGAAAATGGGTGATGTAGGTCCACGTTTTCCTATAGCCCCCATATAACGTTAACCCTCGATATTCGGTATTTTGATGATTTTAGCTACATTATCCACCGAAATTGTTTCAAATTTGGTATTTGAAGTTCGTAATGGGTACTACAGCCTATGACATAAAATTGTCTGTGCAGGTTCATGTCTTCGTATAGCCCCCATATAGCGGTACCTCCCGATATTCGGCATTTTGATGATTTAAGCGACATTATTCATCGAAATTGTTTCAAATTTGGTATTTGAAGCTCGAAACGGAGGCTACAGCCTATGACAGAAAATTGTCTGTGCAAGTCCACGTCTTCGTATAGCCCCCATATAACGTTACCCCTCGATATTCGGTATTTTTATGATTTTACCGATTTTTTTATTCAAGTTTTGCATTTGAATATTATACTGGTTTATGACAAAAGTTGCCTATGCAGATCGATGTCGTCGTATAGACCCTAATTAATAGAATTTTTAACGGATTTTATTTTTTTTTTTTTTCAAAATTGTCAAAAT